TCCCCGAATTATTGTGAGGCTCCAAGCGGCTTTGCGAGTTACGGGGGGGGTTGGGGTCGGTGCTGCCCAGCGGAGGCCTGGGGAGAGGCCTCCGCTCCTCTCCTCCGGACGGGCAGCTGCCCGCGCTGCAGGCGGGCAGGAGGAGAGTGCGAGTTACGGGGGGGGTTGGGGTCGGTGCTGCCCAGCGGAGGCCTGGGGAGAGGCCTCCGCTCCTCTCCTCCGGACGGGCAGCTGCCCGCGCTGCAGGCGGGCAGGAGGAGAGGCTCGGCATGGAGCACGAAGGCGCCAACACGGCTGGGCACTCACTGGAGCTCCTGCCTGTTCGTTAAACCGCTCTCTTAATTTTCCAGGCCTGTAGTTTTCCAGGCAAGGGTGTTTCCCTGAGAGAGCCGCCGGCGAGTGCGGCACCTGCCCGCTGCGTTGCTGAACCAGAGGTGGACCTCGGCTGAGGGGATTAATGGTCCAGAAAACTCACGTATTGGTGATTTAAGAGTGCTGCGTGGTTCAGACCCGGTTGGCAAGCCTGTCTCTGGAGACTCTATCCCCGGCTGGCTTGCCTGTAAAACAAATTTATATACAGATAATGTCTGAGGGACTTGGAGCTGCTGGCCCGTCCCCAGGAAGGTGGCAATTGGGGAGCACAGTCCAGCAATAAATAGGTACAAGAGATAAGTTTATAAAGCGGGGAAGTGAGCGAAGCCTTCATGGTAGGGGAGGAGGACTAACCGAGTCAAGGCAGAGGTGCAAAGGACGGAGGGGAGGGAGGGGAGAAAGCAAGAGATGCTGAAGACACCTGTGCGTGCACAGGGAAATCCAACACCCTTTCTCTTCTTAAACTGGAAAGAGGGCGAGGGGAAAGTTCAGGAATATCGCATTGATCTTAAACACTGGTTTTAAGTCTGACCATTAATCTTGCCATTATATATAGCTCTTGACTAACCTTCTTTTAAATATAAGGACATGACAGGATAACTTGACTTTGACTAGAAGATTCGGCCTTCAAGTGTTGGAAGAAGTTACTCCGCCTCAATGGCTGCGTAGCCGATACAGTGTTAGTTGGAGTCTGTCTTGCTCTTGCATCACGGTTGATGCAGACTTTCTCCCGTGAATATATGACAAAATAGGTTTTCCGGTGCCTCACTTAGTCCTCTCTTTTGCCACGCCTTCACTGGAAAAGAGCCAGGTATCTTCGGTTTGTTCCTTGCTTTCTTCTCTGCTTTAAAGCAACTGCATATATATAATATATACAGACACACCAAATGCACGGGGCCTCAAAGTTCAAGAGCAAAAGCAGTTCATTAGTAGTATATCCCTGCTGTTAAGGGAGTTTATTAAAAGCATGAAGTGTGTTAGCAGAAGAATGGCAGGGAGGGAGAAGAAAGACAGTTAGAAGATGATTAGAGGTGTCTCACTTGAAAGAACTGTGACTTGGTTTATGTTCCCTTCCGTGTTTAATTAAAATATAAAATTGCTGACCTTTTGCCGCAGTGAGTTTGGGGCTAAAATGCTGCTTGAGCTTATTGTTTCTTTGGTTTTCTTTTCTCTGCTATGTGAGGGGATTTGTCTCTCTTTCGTGTATGAGATGATGCACAATACAGAGGATTTCTGAGCTGGTTACCTCGTGTACTGAAAAGCCTCAGGGTTTTTAATGTCCTTTATTTTGTTTGATGCAGCCTTCGTGTGTTGCGGCTCAAATCATGCGTGAAAGGTCACTGACGGGGAAATACTAAATGGCTGTGCGTTTCACGCTGACATGTAGGCAGGCATTGGCATTTGGAGTGTCGTGTGGATAGACACAGAGTAAGTTAGAGATCCTGCAAAAGTTTTATAGATCGTTTGGATCCCTGTCAGGGAAGCGTGGGACAGAGGAACAGAAATTGCACTTGACAGCAGTTCCAGAAGATGCTTTAGTAATTGCTGGTATCATCTCAGTAAATATTTGGTATATATTGGTATCTCTCTGAAATCAAGGAGTAGAAACAAGGGCAAGTGTTCATAAACTTTCTTCCTGGGGGCCCGGTTCCAGCCGAGAAACTTTCCTTTTGTCTAGTCTGAATTAGCCTGTGTTTCAGTTGATGTAATTGATAGGAGATGGGGACTGGAAGATTTGAGCCGCAGGTTAGACTTCACATAAAGTCTAGGTCTGCTGAAATGGTTCTTATTTCTTCCTAACTATTGCAGGATTTTTCTCCTGTTTCCACTATGTGAGAGAAGGCGGCATGCTATTTCTGGAAATTTGGGATGGTCCGTTTGAAATGGCAGTTTTCAAATATTTCAACTGACAAATTGCTCTCTTGACTTCTTGTAAACAGAACCAGCCTGTGTGGGGGGTGTTTGTGTGTGTGGCTTTGGTTATTGTCAGGAGTAGTTGAAACTCAAGAGGCTGATCTAGTAGACTTAAATACTTTCAGTTTTGTTTTTAACAGTTTCAAATTGCATGCACATTTTAAACCCGAAATATATATATATTTTTAAAAGATTCTTTATTTTAAGAATTAAAAATGCTATTCTTATTGTGCCTATTCTTTTTTTGAGCAAGCCTAAGGCAGCAAATGAAGTACAACACGTACCGCAACATACCCAACCACCTTTGGACCATGCAGCTTACTCTCTCTTGTTTTAATTCAGCAGAATGTTAGAAATCCCTCTCTCCTCTGCAGTGGTGGAGCGCCATAAAAGCATGTCAAAAGGAGAACGCTTTAGTAGAGAATTTCAGGAAATTCGAATGCCTTTGTAGTTTTCTTTTCATTTGGTTGGTTGTTTTCCCCCTTACCATGAGGGCTGTGAACAGCAAACCACTGGCTGGGAAGTGATCTCATTGTATTGTCTCGCAAGTGCCCTACGGTACGGGTGGTTTTCCCAGTACGCGTTTTCCTTCTGTCTTCTAGTGTCAACGCCTGCGTAGACGTGGTTCTGTCCGGTGTGAAGTTGTTAGAGGCGCTCGGTCTTGAACCTGGGGATGGAAAAAATCATGCAGTCTTGAACTCCAGACAGGACCTGAAAGAAGCATTCTCTCACTTCATGGAAAAAGGGGCAGCCGCCGAGCGCTTCTTCAGCGACGCCGAGTCTTTCCATCACATTGCGCGGACAGCCTCCGAGTACCCTGGCGCACAGGTATGTCTTCCACCTGAAGATAAGCTTTGAGAAGCATGTTTCTTATTTTCTGCATCGTTGGTGACTTTCGTCCTCTTGTCTAGTGAGAGTGCAAATCATTTAGGAAAGAAACTTACGGTATAGCTTGAGTGCGTTCGTGACTTTCCACGGAACTCTGCGCCTGCTGCAAATAGGAGGGCTTTGAATGGTCTGTCCCCTGCGTACTTTCCCAAAACTGAAATGTCAGTCTAAGATGCCTCTGTAAGAATACTGTTACATGGGAGCCAGATGGGGCTGATGCTGCCTGTAAAAGGCTCTAACATCTTGTAATGAGGCAGGAACTGAGGAAATAGATCCAAGCATTAGGAGTTGTAAACACTCCGATCAGCTTCAGCTACTGAACGCAGGACTTAAATTCTCTCTAGGAGTGATGAAAAGAAATAAGTATTTTTTTCTGGAGCCTCCCTTTCCAAAAGCAAAGTTTTGGTGCTCTAATTTATACTGGGTCTTCTGAATCCAGCTTGATACCTTGCTTGGCAGTTAGCTAATTTCTAAAAACTGCTTAATGCCGCCTTCTATGCGGTTCGCCAGCTGCTTTTGAAAATGAGGAAGAGCTCTAAATGCCTTTTATTGGTCAAGACTCTCCTGTGTTGACTTGTTTTCTCACCACGTTTGCTACGTCGGCTTTCTGGAATCACCTGATTATTAGCTGTATCCTTCTATAGCCTGTTTTCTGTCACCCCTGAGTGCCTGTGATCCTCATGACAATCTATATTCTTTCGTTTCAAAGCTCACATCAGGTTTTTCTTACTTGAAAGTTTGACTTTCTTACCTGAAGAAACTTTCACGGTTCTGCTCACTTCATGTGGGCGCAGGTAGCAGGTTTAACCTTGATTTCAAACTGGAGGAAGTATTGCTGCAGTTTTCAAATGACTGCTTGTCAGCCTTGCTAAAAAACCACAAGTTACCAACTGCCACAGAAAAGTTGCACAGAAGTAGGGGCTGTTTATGCTATGAATTAATTGATTTGTACAGGGTTGTGAGTTACCTGAAGGCGAATATTTAGATTTTAAAAAGTCAGAGAACACTCAACTTGTTGAGACCTCGCAGAGAATTGTAAAATTGTTTTGCCTTCGGCCCCAGAAAGCTTTATTAACTTCTGTAATGCTAGACCCTTTTCTAAAAAGCTGAAATCTCTAGCCTATACTGAGGACTAAGCATGTATAAAGCTATCAAAGCAAGGGAACACCCATACCTGCCTCTCTTTGTTTTACAGCTTTATGTGGGAGGAAATGCTGCTCTCATTGGTCAGAAGCTTGCGACAAACCCAGACCTGAAGGTATGCGTTCCAAAAATTTCATGCTTTCCACTTGTCGTTGAGGCTTAAATTACTTCCTTGTAGATTTTGGGGATCTTGCAGTTATTTCTTAGGTTACGGTGGAATGTATGATTGGCATTACAAGTTGAAAAGTGTAGCTAATTTTTTTTAAATTTAATTATTGTTTTTTAAAATCAATCGTCTAGGTGATGCTTACATGCTCTGAAATGCTGGCAAGGGACATGGCGGGGGATCCTTGATTGTTTTTTCTTGTTTTCTAGATCCTCCTTTGTGGCCCAGTTGGTCCTAAACTCCATGAACTACTTGATGACAACGTGGTTGTGCCACCTGAATCCATGCAGGAAAGCGATGAATTCCATCTTATCTTGGAGTATCAAGCAGGTACCGTGCCAAAGGCTGGATGTTAGATGGGAACCCTGAACATCACTAAGATAGTCCTGGTTTTAAAGTCGTTCTTTTTGAATCAGTTAATTCCAGAAGGACTGTAGGTTATCAGTACTGGCAGCTGTCACTGGGCTAATCCGGTAATTCCATGTGCTTCAGGGTGCTGTGGTAGGTGAACAGACATCCAAAAGTCTTTTGAAACTTTTTTCCTTTGTAATACCGTTACTGTAATACCGTGCTGCTGTCTTGCCGTCCCTTTGGTTCTGCTTGCTTGTACGCTATAACCTATAGAAACCAAGTGGACTTTTCATTTTGTTGTGGTGCATAGCCTAAGCAGACCCGATGGATCTAATTCTAAAGCTGTGTGAACACTAAAATGGTGCAGTAATTTTCTCGGAAAACAGAAAGGTACCATTTAACCGCGTGCAGATGAAATTCAGGGTAACCCTAATGTAATGGCTAAAACAACTCTGCATGTGTTTTCTTGCTGTTCTCAACCTGAATCATTCCACTGGTCCTGTCTCAATATATAGCTTCAGAAAGAGTTACGTTGGTGTGACAGAAGAGGGAGTATTTGGCAAGGAGGGAAGGCAAGAACAACCTTAATTAAACTCTTTCAACAGCAAAACTAATGTGGAGCAGCACCCAAAGCATGCACTCTGATGGACTTCTGGCTGAAACAAGGTTACTATAACTGACAAGTGCTGTTACACAGGAGCACTTGTAAAATTACACTAATCTCTAAGTAAATCTTAATTTTTCTTGCTCAGGGAAGCATCCTCATTAGATGATACATTAGTATATGATGTCTCCTTTTCTCAGCATCTCCGTTCTCAGGTGAGAACTGCCCTCCTGATGCAACTCTGGGGATCTTTGTCCTAGACAGAACTTTGCCGTAAGACTTATCTTAAGAGGAGGCAGCACAGATGGCTGTTGATGCTGTTTTAGTGGCTTTTCCATACATGCTGGTCATATTCTCCATAGTATAACCAGTATACAGTCTGGGAGAGCTGAGTGAACAAGTACGCAGGCTGGTTCTAAGGTGGAGATCCTGCCTATAATAGCCTCAAAAATGCTTGTGTCTCAAGAGCTTTCTGTTCACACTGCCCTTTGGGACCCGTGTTTATTTATTCCCTTACATTGCTTTCTGTCCAGTTACCGTAACTGGCACAAAGAAGTGCCTGCTGCCTGAACAAAGATGCGTGTACAGATGGGGAGAGCTGCCGGAGGGCTGGCCGGTTGGACTGTGGCTTGTGTAATTTGTACCCTCTCTAAGCTCGCTGTCGTTAACCCTGTTTTCTCATGGCTCAGCGTCCCAGAGATGGAACCCATTTAATTTGTGATCTTATCCAGGAATGGAGATGGAGCCCATTTAATTTGTGATCTTATCCAGGAATAAAACCGTTTACACGTACAGCACTGATGCAACTCTGTTCTGCAGATCATTTCTGGGAGCAGCGCAGTCAGGAACAGTAGGAGCCATGAGACTTTTCAAGGTGTACCTTCACGATACAGCTTGAGTCAAGCTAACAGGTGGTTGTTGCCAGAAGGGGAAGGGCTCCCCTCTCTTTGCATATCCTGCACACTCCAGATGTTTGGCTTGAGCTGGCTGTGACACTCACCTAATTGCATGATAAACTAATACAACTGATTAAAACATCACAAAGCTTGCAAAACCAACCAAACAAGTATTGAATTTTCCTTCTGATCAGCCAAGCATCTAAATGAGGCAGAGGGAGCGAGTGAAGAGAATGAATGAGAAAAAGAGCAAGACTTCTCTTGTGGCTGGCAGTAGTTGTTAATTGGGCACAGTCACACTGTGAAACCGTGCCTTCGGATTCCAGCAGGATATCCCAAAACAATCTCCAGATACGCGGTTTGATTTCCTTCTCTTCTGAGTTAACTTGCTTCTGTTTGTTTCACCCTAGGTGAAGAGTGGGGACAAGTGAGAGCACCCAGTGCCAACCGCTTTATCTTCTCCCATGACCTATCAAACGGCGCCTTAAATATGCTGGAAGTGTTTGTGTCCAGCTTGGATGAATTTCAGCCAGATCTTGTGGTACTTTCAGGACTTCACATGATGGAAGGCCAGAGCAAGGAGATGCGGCAGAGACGACTTATGGAGGTAAGATACTTCAACGCCAGCGTCTCCTTAATTTCCATTCCAACAAATGCTTTGTGGCAAAGTCTTGGTTTCCCAGGTTTGAACTTGTAATTAGGCTGTGTCTTCAGATCTCCCACAAATCTTTTCAGTATTGCATGCTAAAAGAAGAATGTGAGCTGTAGGAATGGCAAAAGTCTAATCCTCTAACATTAATGTTTCTTAGATTCAGTGGGTTGTCTAGGGGGAAAAAAGGTATGGTCTGGCTGGAGTACGTTGACATAGTTACTGGAGCTTATCTAGTGGCTAAATTACACTTTTTCTATCCCAGATGCTAAGATAATCAAGGTTTTAATCAAGACTTGCCTTCCTTAAGCAGCATCTATGTTAGATAATCCAACAGGCAGCTTTCTCATCTGAGCCCGAAGGAGCTACACCAAGTTTTCTTTTTATTTACAGATCATTGCCTGTCTTACAGCTGAGTGCCCTTCCTGATGCAATGCACCAGCCTTTTTTTTTTTTTTTTTTTTTTTTTTTTTTTTTTTTTTTTTTTTGTTCTAGGATCAGCTGTTCTACAGCTGCTTCAGATTTGTGAGGCTTCTGAATTAGTCCATTAGAAAAGTGCTGAGTTGGGTGCAGATTAGGGTTAGATACAGTTTTCCTACTCTGGGATTCCGAAAACTAGAAGTTGGTTTTATTTCTTCCCCTTAGCAGTACGTTCTGGCACTTGTCAGACATCTCATTTGGAATTGCGTTTAAATCCATGCACAAGAAGATTAAACGATGTGTATCTCTGAGTCAAAACCCCTTTGTTCTTTCTGTTTCTTAATGAGTATGTGTTTTAGGGTGGGTTGTTTTTTTTTTCTCTTCCTTTACCCCTGTAGGCTGTGGCCTCCATCTCTGATATCCCTACTGACATTCCCATACACCTGGAGTTGGCCAGTATGACTGATCAAGATTTTATGAGCAACATTATGCATCAGGTAACGAAAATGAAAGGACGTGCTCTTTTTACCAGTTTCCTTTTCTTCAGTATCACGATGCACAGACTGGTGGATGAATATAGAAATGAAAACTTAAAACGAGGGCTAACCATTTGAAGATAAATTGCGAACGTGGGTTTAATGTCTGCTGTTGCATTCGGAATGCTTCTGTTTGCTCTACTGAGCTTACCAGAGTCTCCTCTGTGCAGCGAAGGAGAACTGTAATGACTTAGCAGAGGACAGATTTGTCTTCTTTAGCTCAGAGAGAGTATTCCTTATAGAAAGGTCTCTCTGGGAAGTTTCATTTAGGAGGTATCTTACAATGCTCTCGGTTGATCATCAGACTGTTTTCAGCAAGGGGAAAGGATTTTTTGCAGATCTGCGTTTATTCAGCAACTGTATTCAGTAAAAATACCGTGCAACGCAGCTGGGCTCTATTCTCTGATACAAAGATTTTTTGCAGTCACGGGGGGAAGGTGACCCAGGAGAATACTCACAACTCCACAAATACAAGTAACTTTGGTTTAGATTTAGCAGGCCTGCAGATTTCTAGAAAAAACAGGATTTGAATTTGAGCTGAGTTTATAATTTTAAAAAACCCTCGATTTCTTTGCAGAATTTCTTTCCTGCAGATCCTGACGGTTCCTTTTTAGCTTGACGCAGCTCTAATCTCAGCATTATGAGTGTTTGATGGGGATTTGATGTTTTGTTACTCTTTAATGTCAAAGTGTGAGTCTAGAAAATGAATTGCACAAAATGAGCATGCACCCTTGGCGTGAAATGTTTTCTTGGCTAAGTAATTCTTGCAAACTTGTTGAACTGGGGAAGCTTGTGCAGTGACTTTGGCCTGCATCTCTCCAGGAAACTGGGTGCTCTCTTCTGCTGAGCACGCTGGCGACAGAGCCAGTAACACAGTATTGTAAAAGCAATACCCTGAATGAGGAAGACCAAAGTCTGATTCTCCCTCTGAAGAAAAAAAACTGTTGTTCCTGTGTTTCTGTTAGCAGGTCTTTCCCCTGGTGAACTCCATTGGGCTGAACGAACAGGAGCTGCTGTTCCTCACGCAGTCTGCCTCTGGTCCCCACGCCTCCCTTGCTTCCTGGAGCGGAGTTCCCGACGTGGGTGTAGTCAGCGACATCCTCTTCTGGATCCTGAAGGAGCACGGGAAGACAGCGGACCGGGCCTCTGATCTCACGCGGATCCACTTCCACACGCTGGCCTATCATATCCTTGTCACAGTGGATGGGTACTGGGGTAACCAGGTTGCTGCTGTGGCTGCCGGAGCCAGAGCAGCGGGGACTCAGGCCTGTGCGACCGAAACCATCGATACCAGCAAAGTCTTTCTTAAAGCTCCTTTGGAGTTTGTGACCTCCCAGATAGAAGCACCTTCCAAAATCTCTTTAAATCCAGATGAGCCAGTGGTGCATTGGCACAGAGAAGGCATCTCATTCCATTTCACTCCCGTTTTGGTGTGTAAAGACCCTGTCCGGACCGTGGGACTTGGGGATGCTATTTCAGCTGAAGGATTGCTATACTCAGAAGTGTATCCTCAATAGAAGACTAAGACCCTCCTTTTTCTCCAGTACTGTACGGTGTCTGAGGAACCATGGTGTTCTCGTTAGGATTTCAGCCAGTGGTGAAAAGGAATAGGAACAGAATCGGGGTGTGGTGTGTTTTCTGGATATAACTGAAAAAGAGCCAAAGAATAATTCCAGGTATAAACTGTCAGATACATTCCAGTCACTCGGCAGTGACTCGAACGCTTCACATTTAGGTGTGGACGTTTTAGTATTTAATGTGAAAATTGGCTTTGCTTTGTCTTAAGCATGGGGGGAGGGAAACAAATATCAAAATCCCTGTTTGGCTTAGGTTTGCCGTTTGTAACTCTGAGCGGGTCTTGTCTGTTAGTGCTGGAAAGTACGGCAGCCAGGAGAATTTCCTGCGTGTGGATCCCAGGGAGAGCACAGCAGTGCTCGGCCCTGTCTTGCCTCTGATAAATTAAAAATAAAAGGCTCTTGCGTTATCTCCTCACAGCACATTGCTACGTGGCAAGAGCAAACCTTCTGCTTGCTTGGTGTGATGATGAAATCTTTTACTGATGAAATTACCTCTCAACCTCAGTGCCCCTGGCATTGGAGGGAGCCAGGGTCCCAAAATGTGATGCGCACTGTACCTACTCCTTAAATGCACAGAGAAAACTTGACCTAAGGCTGTGTACGTTATTTTGGGTATCTGTTGTCTCTGTGACTAAAGGTATTCAACTGAGCCCTAGTAGTCTGTGCTTAGTTTTTGGGCAACTAGAAGTGAAGATAATCAGGGTTTATATTTGGGGAGACAGCTTTATTTTCTTGCCAGGTAAACCGCAAAACATTACCTGTGTTTGCTGTACACTAAATACCAAGAGTTCCAGCCAGGGGGGCTCACAGCTGGTGTTCTTTGCTAACGGTGGGTGCTTGTATCTGGTATTTTACAGAAAAGCTGTGGAGCTATTGAGACTAATTTTTTTTTGTTTGAGAACAGTTGTGCAATTTTCTTCAGTTTCCCTGCCTTCCATTCGGAAGGGTTAATTTATTAGGGAAGGTCCCTCCGGAGGCTCAAAAGCTGCAGCAGCGTTTTCCAGGTAAGCCTGAAGTGAGGAGGGCTTTTTTAGGGTTTGGGTTTGGGTTTGGGGTTTTTTTTTTCTTTGACTAGGTCATTGAGAGTTTCTTTGCTCTGGACAGCCTTTGAAATTAAAAAAATAGAACCATGTATCCTTGTTAAATAGTTTGCTTATATTTTTTCCTCTTCATAGTCGCACACTATGGATTACATAGCACCAGCATTCTTTTTTGTCTCTTTCCAGCACGGTTTTGTCTCTGTCCGCTTCCAGGAACTTCAAGCGTACATGCATAGCTTATCATACACATTTTTTTCAGTATAACTGAATTAAATGCAATCAGCATGTCTATGCAAGCCTGTCCTGTACCAGAATTTGTAGGAGGAGGTCGCTTTAGGTCAGTCTTTGCATCTGAATGGAGGGGAGGAGAGTCCGTATCACAGGCTGGAGTGATCTGTTTCAGTAACGCTGTCGTATTGCTGTCAGTGATGTTCTCCTGTTGGAAAATGCCATCGTGAATGCTCTGTAAGGATAAAAATTGACAGCAGTTGTAACTTGTACTGACGTAGCACACAATGCTGTCTGTCAACAGATATTTAACTTCTGTTTTCCTTCTGAGCAAAGTCTTCCGTGTTGTACCAGAGGAGAAATACAGTCAGTGCTATGCTTTCCTGCAGCTTATCCCATCCCGATCTTCCGTTGAGTCTCAACATTTATCCCGGTGCGGGATCTTCTTACGACTGGAAGTATTTCTATCCATATTTTTTTTTTTTTATTGTTATTGATAAATTGTAGCATGGGACTTGGAGTTCTGCTTTTAGTCTTCCTACAGAAAAAATAAAAGAAATTCTCCTTCCATCCGTCTAAAAGGTCTGAGGCCGTTAGCAGGGTTATTTTGCAACCTTTGATCATAGCCTTCTGGCACACCACCCCTGGGACCACCAAAGGGCACGCATCCTGCCAGCTGGAGAACTGATCCTTTGCTTACGCTAGGTCCCACTTTCCTGACACTGGGCCAAGCTGTGTGGATTCTTGAGTTGGAAACAAAACAAAACTACATACGCACAAGCTGTCACCAGCAACAGTCCTGCTGCTGTGTTTCACTTCTCTCTTCCAAAAACATTTGCGGGGATGCGAGGCTGATTGGACTGGCATCGCCTTATGGCCATTTAAAAATCACATAACTGCACTAACAGAACTTGTCCGAGGGTAAGTTATGCTTGGATTTAACAGCAGTGTCACAGGCCTAAATTATCGCGCCTTTTTTTTTTTTTAACTACTTTGAGAAAATAACTGCTGTAAACAAGTATGAAAAAAAGGGGTTTATTGCTTAGAATTCATCTGGGCCTAAAAGCTAAACTAATTAGTAGTATTATTATTAACTCCTCCTTCCTGCTGCTCCTGTTCTTTCTCACCAGGTAGTACTTCTT